GAGAGAAGGTGGGAATTTGTAAGCTAATACAGGAAGCGTAAAATTTTGCGGAATGGGAAGAACGTGAAATTTGTGAAATTTTCCTGAAAAATTAGAGAAAAGGGAAAGTTTTGGAAAGGAGGGAGTGTGAAATTTTTGTTTTATAAAAGGGCACTAAAAATTCAGCGGGAAGAGCGATAAATTTTTTTCATTTTTTTTCAAAACCCTTCTCTCTTTTTTTGGCAGAAGATAACCTCTCTCTGTTGTCATGGTTGATTATGTATTTTTGTATTATTATTATTTTCGTTATGTCTTAATTATTTTTTGAGATAATTAAACTGTATAATAAAAATGATTAATATATTAATATCAAGATATAATGATAACTAATTTAAAAATTCTAATAATTATGGTAATTATTCACTTTTAATATGATTATTAATTATAAATTTTATAATATGTGCTAATTATAAATTTGTGATTTTTTAAATAATAATAAGTGATTGTGAAAAGTTAGAGAGGAGGGGAAATTTTGAAAATATAGAAAATATAATTTTGGAAAGTAGTAAAATGTAAACAATTTTAGTGAAATAGAAGGAATATTTCATAAAATCACAATTCAGTACATAAAGTTGTCACAATTAGGGATAAGTTATTTTGCAATATGTCATGCCGCATGACTCATGCGGGCAAGTTCGCTACAGTGCCCAACAAACTTTGTAGCCAATGATTTCGTTACACGTGGCACACTTTCGAAGGAAAAGCGTATCAAACTTTGTAGCCAATAATTTTGTGACATGTGGCACATTTTCGCAGGAAAAGCTGACTGGACGAAGGGGTAGCGAAATTGGTGTGCTATGTGGCACAATCTTATTGCCCGGTCAGAATCAATCTACCAATCACAATAAAAAAACGAAAGAAAATGACAATTAATTGTAATTAATGTACCAATCAAAATTAATGTATTAATCACCAATCAAAATTAATGTATTAATCACCAATCATAATTAATGTACCAATCACAATTAATTTTGATCATAATTAATGTACCAATCACCAATCACAGTTAATGTACCAATCACAATAAAAAAAGATAACGAAAAAAATGACTATTTAATTAATGTACCATTCAAAATTAATGTACTAATCATCAATCACAATTAATGTACCAATCACCAATCACAATTCTCATACCAATGCGATTAACTTTTGACTGTATCAATCACCAATCACTTCAGAGGTCCCTAACTTTTAATTCGGATATCCAAATCAGATATTTTTTATTTTATTTCACATAATTTTTCGAGATCTATCCAATGACACCTCATTTGGTATATTTTATCTATCACAAACATCATTCGAATTTGCAACAATAGTATCACAAACAATTAATGTACCGATCGTCAATCACAATTAATGTATCAATCAAAATTAATTGTGATAGGTACATTAATTGCGATCAAAATTAATTATGAATGGTGATTGATACATTAATTGTGATTGGTGATTGGTACGTTAATTGTGAGTAATACATTAATGATAATTAATTGTCATTTTCCTTCATTTTCTATTTTTTTATTGTGATTCGTACATTAATTCTGATCGGGCAACGAGATTGTGCCACGTAGAGCACCAAGTTCGCTACCCCTGAACTTCTTTCAGTCAGCGAAAATGTGCCACGTTTCACGAAATTATTGGCTACAAAGTTCACTACCAGTCGTAGCGAAATTGGACATGTGGCAGTCAGCTTTTCCTGCGAAAGTATACCATGTGTAACGAAATCATTGGCTACCAAGTTCGCTGGGCACTGTAGCAAACTTGCTCGCGTGGCATATTGGGAAATAATACTGTTCGCGTGGCATTTAGGTAAAACACTTAATGAACAGTGGCATTTTGGTCACTATTCCTTATTTTTCGTCTCTAAAATATGGACAAAAATTTTCCGTTATAAAATCTGTCTCTATTAGGGACAGATTTTTTTCGTCCCTGTTAGAGACGGAATTTATCCATCCCTAATAGAGATGGATTATTTTCCGTCCCTATTAGAGACGGATTTTGGAAATGGTACGTTAATTCTACCCAAGTTGGGACGGACAATATTCCGTTCCTATTAGGGACGGATTGCAGAAATTAAAAATATTCCATCCCTAATTTCGTCCCAAACAGGGACGAAATATTTTTCCATCTCAAAATCTGTCCCTACTAGAGACAGAACTTATTTCATCACTAATTCCGTCCCAAGTAGGGACAGGTTATTTTTTCGTCTCTAAATCCGTCCCAATTAGACACGGAATATTATCCGTCTCTAAAATCCTTCCCTAATTCATATTTTTTTAGTACAATCATTAAATCATAAGCGTACAAAGATAAATCAACAGTAATAAAAGAAGAGAGAGAAAAAGAGAATCAAAATCATTCAAAAGTGAATCAATTAATATAAGAAAATGAATAAATAAAACGACATCGTTTGATACTGACTTGACCATCCAGTGACTGAACAAACAATAAACCTATATATATATATATATATATAGGGAAGATTACATTTACAAACTTTTTGTTTACAAACTCTTACAAATTACATTATGTCTCTGACCGGACATACACTAATCAGGAGTGTATGACCGGTCATACTTAGTGTAATTTGTAAAAAAAAAATTGTAAACAGATTCTTCCCATATGATTTAATTCAAAAGATAAAAAATTTAATTCCCAGGGTTATAGAAAAAGTGATAAATTATAAGATATTTGTAAATAAGAAAAAATATACTCAAAGATCCTCTGAAAATACTGTTTAGCTTAATTAAATCCCAAAGTGTCATTCTATTGAACATGGTTACTCAACCTTTTGGGTGATGTAGATCTGGGTGTTGATGACTATTTAACCATAGAAGTTACAAGAATAAAATAGGGGAAAAAGTATCTAATGTTACTCTAGATAACTTTATCTAATGTTCATCAAAACGACGTCGTTTTGGGGTTGAAAAATTAAAAAATTAGAATGATAAAGACTATTATAACCCTGAAATAAATTAAAATTACAAAAACACCATGATTTCCGCCCCAAAACAACGTTGTTTTGATGAATATTAGATAAAGTTATCTAAAGTAACTTTAGAAAACACAAACCCAATAAAATATGTATTGATACTTTGATATGATATTTTATGATGCATGTCATCTTTTTTTTTATTTGTAAATATGATGTCATCTTTAATTATATGAATATTAACGAAATTAATGATCAAATAATAATTTTTACCAAAACAAAATGATCAAATAATAATTTTTACCAAAAAAATGATCAAATAATAATAAAATTGTTCTTAAGGGATTATGTAAGATGCTCTAAATTATTCTAAAATATAATTAAGATATTATGAGATTATTTTCATATATTTTAACATTAATTATTCGCAAGTATATTTTAAAAATTGAACAAAAGGGGTGATTACAAATTTACAATCAATATTAATGCATAAATATGTATTACTTTTAAGAGCAAGGTTATAGTTACAACCTTTTTTTTTTTACAATCTCTTACAACCATATCTTATCACTATTGATTTCCGCCAATCAACGGTTATCATTTTAGCAAATTAAACTCATTAATTAATTATTAATTCACAATAAATGATAATCGTTGATTGGCGGAAATCAACGGTGATAAGATATGGTTGTAAGAGGTTGTAAAAAAAAATGTTGTAAGTATAACCTTTCTCTACTTTTAAATATATTAATAAGGGTGCAAATTGAGTAAAATATCATTTTTCTAATAATTAAGTGAATACTAAAAAATAAGTTTTTTTTTATTTAACAAAATCAAATAAAGGTTTTAAGCCCATTGACATCTACAACAATTTTTTTTTTTCTAATTTAATACACGGATATGATTAATTTACATCGATATAAGAATAATAAATTTTACACTCAACTTTTATTTTCAAATATTCATGTATCAAACGATTGTAATTGATAGAGTTATTCTCATTAATTATACTCGATTAATAATTGGATTATTCTCGTTAATAATAAGAATAATCCAATCAATTATTTGATAGAAATCAATGGTTAGAATTAAGTATAAGAGTAATTATATTTTTTACATTGATATGTCACGTATATAACCGGAAGTTATTTTCCTAATTTCATTCCATATACAAACAGTAGGAGTAAGTGAGTCACAGACATCATATAGCTTTGTTTTCGTTCAAATTCAAAAAACCAAAAAAAAAAAAATTTGTCAATTCTAAATTGTAAAAGCCTTCTTGTTCCACTATAAACATTATTATATATAGGAGTTCTGCTCTGTGGTTGTTTTTTGGGTTGTCTCCTTCCTTCATGGAGATTTGAGGTACTTTTTTTTCTTAATTAATTATTTTCTTATTATTTATATTTTCTCCATTAAAATCATATTTGCAATTTGCAAGGTTTTTCTTTCTTGTATTTTTTTGGTCAAATTTGATTTTAATTTTTCTTTGCACTCTACAACTTATTTTCCATGTTTTTTTCCTAATTTAATATAGGAATTAAATCAATTTATGAATAATAAATTTTGTATTCAATTTTAGTCATTGATTTTGGTATATCACACATCTGTAATTGATTGGGTTATGTTTGATATTATTCTTGTACCCATAGAAATTGATCCAGTCACAGATATATATATATATATATATATATATAACAGGAAGTTAATTATTTCCCTAATATAACTCAAGATACAAACCGTAGGAGTCACAGATATCACAAAGGTTTGTTTTCGTTCAAATTCAAATAACCTAACAAAGAATGTCACTCCTAATCTGAAGAAGCCTTCTTGTTCCACTCTGAAGAACATTCTAGGTGTTCTGCGCTGCGGTTGTTTTTCACAGCTTTGAGTGATTGTGGACTTGGAGGTATTTGGTTTTACATTTAATCTTTCTCTATTTTTGGTGTTGTTGATCAATTCTAACAAAGTTCTTAAGACAAAGATACAATATTTTTTTTGGCACAGCTTGATGTCTTTTCCCTTCGGAGAGATGCTATCAAATCAATATTATTCATCCCTCGTTCAACTATTCTTTCAACTATTCTGCTTTGATAGCATATGGAACACGCCAAAAGTAAGCTTGTTAAAGAGTAGAACAAGTGCTAATAAAACATTATTGAGTGGAAAAGAAGAGAAGAAGCATGAGTGCACGTGGACAAGTCTCCCAGATGATATCATGGAACTGATTATGAAGCGTCTGTGCCTCAAAGATTTCCTTGGATTGCGTGAAATATGCACCCCCTGGAGGGATACCGTTGCTAATGCCATTGCAAACAAGCATTGCCACCCATTGCCTGAACTGCCAGTAATTGTCCTCTTCAAATATCAGGAATCATCCACAGTTTTCAGCTTGCGGACAGAAAGTCTAGTTTATCCCAAAAGACCACTATTTGAGAAATTGCAGATTCTAGGCTCAGTGGAAGGATGGATGATTGTGAGTGAATATTGTAAAGTTAGTAGTCGTAGTGTAACCATTTTCTTCATTAATCCAGTAACTAATGCTAGAGTCTTTGTCCCATCAGTGTTAAATTTCCCAACCAACTCTCCCCTTCCAGCTGCTAATAAGAAGTTGATTCAAAAAATGGTAGCTTCCTCCAAACCCGATTGCTTGGATTGTTTTTTGGTTTGTCTCTTCTGTGACGAATGTCACATTAGATTTTGTAGACTTTCTGACAAATCATGGACTACAATTGAAGCGGATAAGGATGCAGGGGTTCATTTTATGGATGTGGAAATTATTGATACGAAATTGTATGCTAGAACTTTCAATTCCATATTGGTTTGGGATTTGCAAGATTCGAGTGATTACCCCTCAAAGCCTAAAGTATTAGCTATGCTTCCACCAAGGCCACCATTAGTATTAACTGTAACCGGTAACCAACGTTTTGTCAGGGGTAAAGTCCTCACCTGCCTAGCCAAAGATGATGCATCAGGAGATTTATTCCTCATTCACAGGTTCTGTAACTTAGCTTATGAAACACAAAATGTTGGGTATTTGAACACGATCACTAAATTTGTTACCCCGCCTGAGATGACCAGAGTTGAAGTATTCAAGTTGAACACAATTAGTACTGAAACTAATAATCAGTGGATCAAGGTTGATAATATGGGTGACTGCGTGTTGTTTGTTAGCCATTTCAAGTGCATGGTAATGTCAAGGGCTGCCCTTAATAGTTCTGAAGAGTTAATTAAAGAAAATAGTATTTATTTTGCTTTTAGTTATCCATGTGCTGGAGACACATGGGCGGGCATTCAATTGGGGATGATTTGCTTGACTGATAACAACATCAAATATTTTACTCTTGAGAAATCAAGTCCTCGCCCTTTTCCTTTTTGGTTTGTACCAAGTGTTTGATAATTCACTTCATATGTGTAATGCTATGAAGATTGATTACTATTTATTTTTATGACATGTATTTACTATTTTCTGTTTTCTTTTCATGACATTTTTATGTTTCGGATCACTTATGCTACTTAGTATGTTATCGTTTAGAAGTGTTTCAGCCGAAGCATGCAACATTTAAAATAAGAGCAATGATTGTCCAATTGTGTGTTGCTGGTGAGGTTGAGTTGTGTGAGGGAGGCCTCGGTTATATAAAACTTGATGTTTGAGGGTGAGATGATTATGAAGAAGATGATCATAAAAAGCATGCTCGTGAAAATAAGAGCAATGATTGTCCAATAGATGCAGCAGAAGTTGCATCAGAATTTGCAAAGCATGGTGAAAGGCTTTATTTGTCAAAATTATTACGAACGATGCTCCAGGAGCACCATTCACTCAGAGAGCCAATCAAAATCGAACAAAAAGTGTGATGTGTGTACGGAGGAGAATGAAAAAAAAAAAGTAATCCAAGTGTCATATTTTTAATGGAAGGAGCATGTGCTCGTGGAGCATTGAAAGTTCTCTCCTATTTGTGATAGATATATTATTGGTAGGAGAAGCTCAAAATATTTGATAGAATATGGTGTAACATGTATGTTTATATGGCTATTAATTTGTAGGTTGTAACCGTTGATGGGTTTGGTGTATGGTATCTTTCTTGAGCTTTTGTAGGACATTTCCTTGAGGCATTGACTTTTGAAGCCAAGTGAAGAACTATTAATGGTTTGAGTGACATGGAATTACTCAAATTTGGTTTGTAGAGCTATAGTGTAAAATATTAGGTTTGAAGATTTTAGAAATTATTCTAATCATGGTACTCCCTTTGAAAAACTATTATACTTTTCTTTAAAAATATATATATAGGTTGAGTAATAAAAGTGACAAAAAAAAAATTGGTAGAAAAAGTGGAAAACTTTATTTAATGATAAAAGTCATAAATTGAGTAATAAAAGTCTGGAATTTTTATTCTTTAATTTGTAGTATTTGACATAGAATTTGAAGTTTAAAACAAAAAAAAAATAAGATATGTTTTTGTAAAAGGAATTACGTACCTTATTACTTCCCGATTATTTTGTGTTGTTTTACTTCTTTCTTAAAATGCTATTCAAGCTTTGCTCACATATGACAGATGAGAGTATCAAATTCACATGCTTAAAGAACATAAAAATTCAGTTTTGTTATAAAATATAGCATGTATATTGGTGAAACATGTTTCCAATGGAATTCAAATCCTCAATCTACCGAGCCTCTTCTTTAAATAAAATATTGTCATCTAAATTTCTATTATTTTATTTTTATGCTCAAGTTCTATTACTCTTAAAATTATATAAATTTTATAAGAAATTAATTAAGTTATAAATTCCTATACTTTGTAAGATTTTAAATAAATTTTCAATTTTAAAAAATTATGAACAAATCCCGATAAATTTAAAAACTTTCTTGATTAATTCTATGCAAGGAGATAAATACATTAAACTAAAATTTTAAATTATATAATTCATTAATAATAAATTTTAGATCACAAAATTTATGTAAAAAATATAATGCCTACATATTATGATGTTTCTTCTATATTTCATATTTCAAACCTTTTCATAGACTAAGAATTTGATTTTAATTAATATGCAAAACGCTATATGGTCATAATTTCTGGCACAACGCGGCACAATAACTTGATCTAATATTATTTAAGCTGGAACATGAAATTGTGTATTTTTAGTCAGATTTGAGTCATGTTCTGGATTGGCTCACTTTTCTTTTCTTTTTTTTTCTTTTTTTTTGATAAATGGTTAGCCCACTTAATTCGATGTTAAATGATATTTTAAAACATTTTTAAAAAATTAGTGACTACTTATAATTTTTCTTAACTTAAATTAATATATTTTACATAGCATATAGATTATATTTTAAAATATAATTTGTTTCGAAATGTATGTTATAAAATATTTTTTAGTTTTAATTTTTATATAATAAAATATATAAGTTAATTATGTTTTATGATTTTATATATTTATTAATTTAAACATCAAATTTATTCGGTCTTGTATAATTAGTGGAGTTTGTCTCTTTTGGGGCCTTGTATTATTGAGAATAACAATTTACCAAAAAAACAGTAAAGTTAAGTAGTATTCACTCATTTGACCGGAAAATAAAACGAGGTCTGAATCTTTGTCAATGATATTTTTTAGGAAATCGTTTACCAATACGCTACGCTTGTGATTTGTTTTCAAATTTGTTTATCATATTTGTCCATGTATTTTGTAAAAAGTAAAAAATCACATGGGTATATATAATAAAAAAACATTCCTTTTTGCAAATCACAAGAGCATATGTGATAAAAAAATTCACAAGAACATAGATGATTCTGGAGTAAACCACAAGGACATTGGTGAAATTTTTCTTATTTTTTAATATGTATAAATATTAGGATTAAATTCAAGGAAAATTTCGTTTACAAATTTTTTTTACAAATTACACTAAGTATAACCGGTCATACACTCTTGATTAAAGTATGACCGGTTATACTTAGTATAGTTTGTAAACAAAAAATTTGTAAACATAATCTTCCCCTAAATTCAAAATGGAATGTTTAAGGACCCGAACATTTTTTATTCATATTATTATACGTTGGTAAATGTTTCAATTTTAGAATAAAATAATTTTCACTCTTTTTAAACTTTTTCTTTTAATAATAAAACAAAGTTAATGATGTTGTATTATTTGTTTAAAGTTTTCTAGTACTGAAATAATGAGGAATATTAATTTTTAAAGAGTCAAGAATGAATAGGTTGGACTCTCAATTTTTAATAATTGTAGAAGGGGGACTTTTTGCATCTTGACATAACTTAGGATGATATTTTATCATAATTTCTTTAATATTATATAGGAAGAGTAGAGATAAGAGAAAGTGCGTAGGCTTATGCGTTCACAATAGATCTTGAGTCATGACTTGCTTATTATAAGACGTGCCATTTAAAAAGAAGAAGAAAAGTATGCTACTTTCCCTCAATGGTATTAAACCCGAACCGTACATCGATTCTGGGGTATATCGGGTCAATGGGTCACTACAAGAAATATGACTATTTGTGATAAAAATTTAGTGATAAATATACAAATGGTCACTAATAATATAATATCTGTGACCAAATTTTATTTTGTCACTATAATTTTTTTTAATTGTGACAAAATGATAAATTGTCACTATAATTTCATTAATAGTGACAAATATATATTTATCTCAAATAATTAGTGGCCAAATTTTATTTTGTCACTATAATTATTTTTAATTGTGATAAATTGATAATTTGTAACTAAAATTTAATTAATAGTGACAAATATATATTTATCACAAATAATTCGTCACTAATAAAAATTATTAACTAAAACACTATTTTCACATAATCAGATCGTCATTGATATAAAATTTTAAAGATGCAAAAAAAAAAGTAATAGTAACAAGATTTTAAGTTATCATAAATTTTATATAATAATATTGACAATTATAAAACTTATCAATCATTTTTTGTTATTAGTGACAACTCACAAATAGTTCATCATTAATGATTTGAAACATTTATGTCTAAAATTATTCGTCACAAATATTTAATATCAATATTGATAATGGTGAAAATTTTCTCACTACTATTACAAAAACTAAACTTTGTCATTAATATTATATTATACTATATGAAAACTTCTTATTCCCTCGTACATGACATTTGCTTCCTAATTATGTATAGAGGAATTCAACCTCTACTTTGAAATATTTTAGCTCATCCCTGTTGAAGCAAGTAATTTATCTTCTTCTTTTTTATATACAATTTATCTTCTTTTGTTAACTTTTGTTAAAAGAATGATATTATCTATGCGAATGCTTTGAGTGCAATAAAATAATGTGTAATTATTTTTTTTAAAAATTCAACAAAATTTGTTTCATAAGAAATTGCCCACTAACCAAACCAACAAAAAAAAAAACTGCCCACTAACCAAATTAACAAAAAAAATTGCCCACTAACCTTCCTATATCCCATATTTTAAGGTTTTAATATTTTTTTAGCCTGTACAAAAAAAATAGCATATAATATTAATCAATCGTCATCAGAATCATACTCATGGATGTCATCACTTTCCTCATCTTCTATCAAAGTATCATAATCACTTTCCTCTTTATTGTCAGCACCTTCTACATGCACCATTGGACTTCCATCAACGGTGGGTTGTTCTAAGTCATTCCTATCCAAAGATATCGCTTGTTCATCATCTGGTTCACTACACAGTTCATGTACCAATCCAATCTCATCATTTTCTTGACATGGCTCATTTGTAACTTCCCAAGGCATATCATAAAAGTCACGGGCCTTTGTCTTCACAACAACTAGCCAATTCGGATCTTTATTGTCTTTAACATAATACATTTGTTGAGCTTGAGTGGCTAGGACATATGGTTCATTAGTGTTGAATCTACGATTGATATTGATAAGAAAAAAACCATATCTATCTTCCTTATATCCTCTTCCTCTAGAAGAAACATCCCACCAATCACATTTAAATAAAATCACACTATTTCCACCGCCATACATTAATTCCACAATGTCTGTTAAGACGCCAAAATAATCTAAATTACCTATATTCTCATCCCCTTTAACTAGAACTCCATTATTTTGAGATTTTATCTGCATATCACGATCCTTTATATTAAACCTCCAACCATTTATAAGATAACTTGTATATCTAAAAACACGTGTATCAGGGCCACAAGCCAAGTCAAATAATGATTCATTTATGCTTTCATCCCCAACATTTTTTCAGAAACGTAATCTGAAATTAAAATAAATAAATAAATATATATATATATATATGTATGTATGTATGTAAGTTACCATATAACAACTAAAGTTATATAAAAATAGATAAATCTAAAATTATACGTACATGTTTTTTAAACCATTGGTAAAATTCTTTTGCATGTCTTT